GGAAGTGGGGGCCCCTGGGATCCGAGTCCAGCCTGGTCCCCACGGCCCAAAAAGGAGCAAAGGGGTGGAGGTTCGTCCTGCCAATGGGCAGGGGGTGGTGACAGGGGACTCAGCCAGGCCCTGGGCCCCGAACACAGGGTGGGCAGAGCAGAGGACCCTCCCTCCATGCCCTCGGCCCTGGGTGCACAGGGCGGAGCCTCAAGCCAGCTGGGATCTGGAAGGGACTACAGCCCGGGAGCAGAGTGAGGATGTGAACAGAAACCCCGGCAATGGCTGGGAGCCAGCCTGATGAAGGAGATGCCCCCACCGGAATAAAAGGCCTCATCCACAACCGTCCTGGCCCCCAGCCCCGGAGGAAGACCCAGCTGCAAGCTTCCACCACTCGGTGACGGAAGCCTGTCCAGTGGCCCTGGAGCCCACACCCTCGGCCTCAGCCCTGAAACCTGTGGCCACAGCCTTGTCCCCAGAGCTGTCTGCTCATTCAGCCAGCCCCACAACAGCAGGGCACAGTCACGGTCCCCATGGGGCCGTATGGCCTGAACCTGACCTCACACCCTGCGCCCCTGGTGAGTGGCCTGCCTGCTCTGTGCTCTTGCCTCCTGTCTTCAGAATGACCCCGGGTGACCAACCAAATCACTCTCAACAAGAACCAACGACGGCTCCTGGCTCCGCAGACGTGCACCCCACAGAGGGACATGCCAAGGGAGGTGACAACACACAGCAAGTGTCCCCTGGGCTGGGGGGCTTTCAAGGAGGGGGTGTCCTAGCTGCCTGAGGGCCCAGATCATGCGCCCCCATAAGTGGGCCCACTCCGTCCCCTCCTGCCCGTGGCCTGTATTCAGGAGAGGGTGGCAGCAGCGAGTGCCGGCCCCTGGCAGCTCCTCCGTCACTGTGGTCCAGGGTCTGAAGAGCCCCGGGTCCTGCCTGTGGGAGTAGGTTGGGCCCAGCAGCTTGGCCCCAGGGTCCCCCGACATCCTGGGGCCAGTGGATGGGCATGCATGCCCGGGGTGACTAAGCTGCAGGCTGTCTGCAGAGAGGCAGAGGAAATAGGGGTGTCTGGTGAAGGAAAGGGCCTAGGGGGCCCCAGTACCTGACGAGCCTGTGAGTGGGCACTGCGTGTGTCCGAGCCGCATTCCCCCCCACCCAGAGAGCCCCCCGGATGGCTGCGGCCAGGGTCCCCAGCCAAGCCTTGCTGGAGGGCTCGGGAGGGCGGTCCCAGGGCAAGCACGGCTGGGCCGTGAGGTCCACGGAGGGGAGGCCATGGCGGGGGCACCGCATGAGGCGCCCCCGCAGCAGTGAAGAAGCGCAAGTGCCCCTCAGCAGCACCGCGCTCACCGGCTCACCCCAGACATCACCGCGCCTGCTGCCACCAAAGCTGGCCTCACGCACGGGTCCCAGAAACAGAGCGGGAGGGCGTCGGCCCGAGAGCCATCCGGAGATGGGTGGGGCATGGATGCCCAGCGATGCTGAGTGACGCGCTTGTATGGGGAAGGCAGTGCGTGTCTGTCACGGGTGCTTCACCACAACAGGAACTTCAGAGAGAAAGGGGGCATCGGGGGAGGGGCCCCTCGTCCTACCCAGGGCCTGCCGGTCTCAGGCAGGGTGTGCAGTTTTCACAGGAAGGGGCAGCTTTCAGGTGTTCATGGCATTATTCTTCATACCTTTGACTGCATTTAATATTTTATAATTAGTGAAATATTTATTGGAGATTTCTTAAATATTTGAGACACCTTAAATATTCTATAATGAATTTTTTAGTGTTTTGAAAAGGAATGGGCAGCTGTGTGAGGCTGAGTTCCCCGTTGCCAGAGGCATGCAAGGAGCAGCAGGATGTCAGAGAGGGCCCTGGCACTGGTGGTGGGTGGACCAAAGCAATGGATCCTAGACCAGGAAACCCTCCAAATCACTTGTGAATGTTCAGAAGCAGACTGTGCTGAGAGCCCTGAGCCCCGGGCAGATTCCCTGGCTGGGCAGGGGTGGGGTGGGGCCGGTGACTCTCCACAGAGCCCGTCCCCTCCGGTCTCTGCTGGGTTTTCTCAGGCGCTAAGGTCCAGCACCAGCTCCGGGACCCCAGGGCTGGGGACAAAAGACTGCGGTTTCACAGCCGCCAAGGAAAGGCTGGAATGGACCAGCAAGCGCTTGACCCTGGGGGCTGTGGGCCAGGGACCTCAGACCAGGAGATCTGAGGGCCCCCTGCACAGACAGACACACTGATGACAGGGGAGGGGCTGCTCCGGTCTCTGCCATGTGGCCGAAGTTCCCCCCTGGCTGACACAGCATAAAATAATGCTGACTAGTTTTATTAGAAAGTCACCAATTTCATTCTGTTCAGTGCTTCTGATCACACTGCAGAGACAGCCTTCCATTCCCCGGGAAGCCCCGAGCCCCCTGTCCAGGCGCTGCTGTGTGCCTCCCGTAACGCAAGGGCAGGCCGTGGGCTCCCCCGGGCCGCAGCCTCCGACTGGAATTTAATAACATGGTTTTGTCTCCACCGAATTCATTTTTACGATTATGAATTCTATTTATGGCAAAGAAGGCTTGTTTTCCATTTGCAGCACGCTATAAAACTTCCCTTTTAAGTAAATGTATTTAAGTTTTTAAGAAATGAATTGACTTCAAAAAAATAGAAGGCACGCAGAGGGAATGTGGGGGCATGTGGGTGGCTGCCGCCCCGCCCCCAGCTGGGGGCTGAGTCTCCCTGCGCCCTGCCGGGCGGGGGCGGGTGGCTGGCCCCCTGGCACTGCGACCTCCGGAAGATGATGAAGCCCGAGAGTCGGAGTCGTGGGCTGAGCGGTCAGGGATGAGCTGTGGGCGGCAGCTTGAAGCTGTCCTGGTAACCAAGCCACTAACTCAAAGCCCCAGGCTCCCTCCAGCCTCCAGCGTGCGCGGCTGGCTTCAAACACCGGCCTCTGGAGCCGGGCTGACCTTCTCCTAATTAGCTCGGGCTGTTTGCTCGTGGCCGCCAGCAGGTCTCTGGACAGCAGCTCCGACTCCAGCCACCGCCACCCATCACCGTCACCATCACCGTGGGGCAGAGAAGCAACCGTGCTCCTTGAAGGGGCGGGGGAGGGGCCGGGCATGCTGGCGGGCTGCAGGAGCAGCAGAGGGGGTTGGGACCAGTGGCCTTGGGCGAGTCACCAGTATGTCACACGAGCTCTGCTGGGGGAGGCATTGCCCCCTGCCCAGAGGATGCAACGAGGCCTGGGAGGAGAAGGGAGGGCTCCACCAGCTCCCAGAGCACCCGTCCTCCGCTGCAGCTTCCCTGGACCTGCCGGCGAGGGAGGCCTGTGGTGGCCCTGTCCATGGTGCTGAACGTCCTGCCGGCAGGTCTCCGGGCTCAGCAGGACACAGAGGAGGTTCCTCTGAACACTTAGTCATCGCTTCCATAAAAGCCACGTCTAGGGACGAGGGCCGGGGGCCAGGAAATGGAGGGGAGGGCGGCAGGGAGCGAACCCAGAAAGTTCAGCTCGCCGAGACACATGTTCTGTCTGGAAGGATCTTAGAATCACGCGCGCAGCCCCCAGTTCGGAAGAAGACCTAATGTGAGGTGCACGCCTCCACCCGACCCGCGGGAGCCGCGGCCATCTGTTCCGCCACCTGCCTTCCCAGGTAGGCCGGGCTGAGAAGCGTTCCCGCCATTCAGCCCACAAGCATCCATTCAGTGTCTGTCCCTTCCCCCGCCCCCAACCGCCCCAGGCTCAGGAGGCTGGCAGAGCGGAGCCCGGAGCCTGGGGTGAACCAGGGGAGGGGAGGGGAGGCGGAGATGATGCCCTGGGGTGTGAGAGCTGGGGTCGCAGGGTGGGGGGCCCGAGGGGCTCCCCACACCGACAGGTGAGCCCGAACTCACGAGGCCTGGCAGGGCCGAACTTCAGGAAGGGAGGGAAGAGCCTGCATTTCTCTGACGTGATGAAAAAGAATGGGGATCTGCCGGGCACCCGAGAGCCATGCTGGGGGGAGGGGGCACACCCGCCACTGTTTAATGGGCACCTACTGTATGCCAGGAAATCCATACACCCCACCTTCTGGGAGAGGTCATTTCCACTCCACATGTAGAAAGCAGGGGGTCGGAGGGGGGTCAGGGACAGCCCAGCAGAGTGGGGTGCATCCCTCATGGGGTCTCCCTGAAAGCCAGTGGGCTTGGAGGAGAGGGTCTTCCGGGCAAACGCCCACAGCAGGAAAGCCCAGGGCCATCCCAGAGGTCTGCTCGCCTGCTCACCTGCCTGTCCTGCTCCCTCAGGGCCGAGTCCACCCAGCCGGCCCTGACTGTCCCTGCTAGAACTCCCTAATGGCAGAAGACAGCAGACAATCCATTGCAAAACCCTCAAGCCCAAAGGCCACACCATCAGTGCACTATGTCGCTCACCAACAGCACCGCCTGCTGGTCGACTGAGGCATTACAACCCAGCTCTATCATTGCAGAGCCTGCCTCCTGGAGCCGCCCCAGGAGGGTGGGGGACGGTGGCAGAGGGGGCAAGGCTGTGATCCGAAAACGTCAACAGTAGCTGGTGCGGCTACTTTCCAGCCAGAGGTGAGGCTGCAGCGGACACAGCAGAGCTGAGTCACCGCCCCGGCGGCCTCGGCCCCTCCCCCACCCACGGAGAAATTCAGCGCAGCATCTCCGACGGTCCTTCCCACGCACAATCCTCTCTTATACGTGTGCCCTGTGGTCCACACGGTGGCTTCCCACTCCAGCCCACGGCCCAACTCTGTCCCACAAAGCAGTGGGGGTGGCCCCTCTGGTCACACACATAGCACCCCAATTCACCAGGGAGGAACTGGACAGCCCCGTGCACGGCCGCCCCCGACCCCCAGCCCCTCTCGTCAGGGCTGTGGCGGCTCATTCCCCGTCCCCGGTTCTCCCCAGCGGACAGGCAGTCAGCCCCCACGGGCGTCTGTTCTGCAGGACAGCTGGGTCTGACCCCACGCCTTGCAGGCCTGTCCCCGGACCCGGCACACCTGCCCCCCTTGCCGAGAGCCCAGTGAGCAAGACCACCTCTTACCTTTGGGTCAGGGCGTGCCGACGGCTGAGTACATCTGAAGAGGACAGGCTGGTGGCTTCCTCTCCTCAGGGGTCACAAACATCCCCTCACTTCCGGACACCAGGGAAGAGCGTGGGTCCACATGAAGTGTGGGGCAAACAAGGCGCGACCACTGCAGGGAGACAGAGTGGGGGGCGTGAGAAGGGACTGGGCGAGGCCACCTGTGGCCACCTCCGCATCTGGAAGGTCCCCTCAGCCTGAGCTGGGGGCTGTGGGTCCAGCGGGCACTGACCACCGGGCAGTTAGACCTCGAGGAACAAGAGGGAGATGCCGGCCCCTGCCCACGCAGGAGGAGGTGCGGATCGGGCAGAGGGCAGGGGTGGTGACAGAGACCAGACCAGTTGTCGCCTGGGGCAGGGCCCCAGGGGCCCCAGGTGAGAATGTGGAAGGCCCACGGTGCCTGCGTCCCCTGAGACCCCTGAGACAGAGGCAGCCGAGACAGCTGAGGTCAGGACCCTGGGCCGGTCGGCCACGTGGCCCCCTCCCTGACCGGGCACCTCCTCTGCTCCAGGGCTCCTCCCACCCCTGCGCTGTCCAGCTGCTGACTCAGAAGGGAGCCAGGTCAGGGACCCCCCGCCCACCCGGAGAGGTGTGACTGCCCCCTTACTCCATGCACACACCCCGACGCCGGGTGTCCAGTCCACACTGAGGACTTCCTCTGCATCACCCAATCCCACTCTCAATTTTCAGTCACCTGACCCTCACTTTGCAGGCAGGGAAACTGAGGCTGGGAGGGGCGCTCTCTCCCAGGGCACAGAGCTGAGATGCGGTGGGGAGCATGTTGGGACACAGCTGGCGCCAGGATGTCTGTGAGCGTGACTGAAGGCACGTAACTCACCAACGCACGGTGGCACCGCTGGGTGGGGGCAGGGAGGGGAAGGGGGGCCCCCTGGCAGTGGCGGCGGAATCTTTGGGACAAGGGGGGTTCTGGGAGCGATGTTTGAGGGGGGACTCTGAGTCACCTTGAGCAGCTGGAGGGCAGTGGTGACCCTCAGGAGGGCCGGGCAGGAGCCAAGTGTCTCCTGCCGCATCCGCCTGCACCCCCCACGTCCCCCACAGAACCGCCCCCCAGGCCCTGCTGGGGGTGGGGACGCAAAGGCAAGAAGGAACCTGTCTTGTCAGGGAGAGAGAGAGAGTGTGAGTGTGTGTGTGTGTGTGTGTGCGTGCAAATAGATGAGTGAGTGGCATGTAATTACCTAAAATTGCTGGTTAGAAGCGGATGTAAATAACCAAAAAATATGGGGAAGTGGGGGGAATGCTCATCAATTAGAGCTAATTACTTAACAGCTAATTGAAATAATAATGGTCTGTATTTGAATATGCAAATGAGGCTGAACCTGCCTTGGAAAAGGTAATGGAATAAAAAGGGAAAGAGTGTGGAGACCTCGGAAGCTCTGGGGACCTAGTCTAGCCTGACTTCCAGGCTGAGACCTCAGCCCCGGGCCGGCACCGTGTCCCCTCCCACCGCCAAGCCTGTGCCGCTGCCCAGCCACGGCCAATCCCCTCTCCTGGGCCCCGTCACCCTGACAACCCAGCTGCTCCCAGACTGCTCGCAAAGGCAGGACGAAGGGGGAGCCCCAGGGCCCCCCCACCGTGTGCGGGATCAGAAACCTGGCACCAGACAGAGCTGCCGCTGGAGCAGGGCCCGCTGGGCAGCCCTGACAAGTCCTGGACCACCGTGCCTCAGTTTCTCCCCTATTAAAAGGCGCTGACAGTGACCACCTCTGACTGAGTCACAGCCCAGGCCAGTCCAAACCCACAGGCTTGGGAGCCCCAGGAACCTCAGGGACCACGCGGGCTGCAGGGGTCAAAGGTGACGCCCCGCCCCCACCCCTGGAAAGGGCACGCACAGCCATACGTGGGGATTTGCCTGCGTCCCTAGACTGTCGGGGACTCTCTAAGTCTGGATTTTACAGGTGGAGACACACCTGTGCACGATCCCACAGGCGGGGACTGGGGCCCGAGCCCCTCAGGAGAATGGTCAGGGCACCAGCCAGGCCCCGAGGCCAGAGAATCCCATGACACAGATGGGTAAACTGAGGCCTGGAGAGGCCAGATGCAGGACACGTGGACAGGTCGAGGGGCCCCTTCTCAGGCCCTGCGTGTGGCTCGGGGGGCCCTGCACCCCCACCACACGGGGCACTCCAGGCTGAGGAGGCAGCTGTGGGCAGCAAAGCCCAGACCAGCTCCCCTGGGGGCCAGAGGTGCAGGCGAGGGAGGGCCCCCCATCCTCCCTCCCCCCCTTCCAGGACAGTCCTGGTGGGAAGGGGGGGGTGGAAAGGAGAGCTCCCAAACTTGACATTTGCATTTCAAACACTTGTATCCGCAAAACAAATAACAGTAATTATGCCATTTGCATATTTTGTGCCGTGATTGTTTCACGGGGGTGGGGGGAGCGGCTCCTGCTGACGCCAGCGGCCCTGCCTCCTGCAGCTGCCCGTCCCCCAGCAGCCCCGCGGCCCCGCCCACACCTGGTGAGGCCGCCCATTGGCTGCCACCCTCCCTCGGGCTCCGTCCCTTCTCCTCCGGGCTCTGTCTGTCCTCCAGCCCTCCCTCCCTCCCCCGAATGTGGCCCTCTCAGGACCTTCGCACCTGCCAGGTGGTAGGAAGGCTGCCCCCAGAGCTGCCCACACAGGCCCCTTCTCATCGTCCGCAGTCCTGAGCCCCCTGGAGGGACGGTCGGGGCTGCCTCTGTGGGGCCCCTGCCTGGCACACGGGGCAGCCCCACTTCCCACCCCGTTGCTCTCCCTACCCTCCTGTCCCCACCCTGCCCCCCACAGCCACCAGAAACGCCCCCCCTCAAGGGAGGTGGCCCTGCTCCTGAACGAGGGCCACAGCAGCAAGGCCACCACCGCACAGTGCCGTGGTCGGGGGACTGCCTGAACCCCGTGGACACCTCCTCGGAGCCCCTCGAGGGGACAGCCGTGGTATCACCCTCCAGGGTGGAGAAACGAAGGCTTGGAGAAGGGGGAAGGGGTGTCGCTCGCTCAAGGTCACAGAGGAGCCAAGGTCTATGTTGGGCCCACCCGCCCCCTTGCTTTTTACGGGACGGGCACCCAAACGCAAGGACCCCTGTGAGAGCACTTGGGACGAGCATCATGAGCAGCACGCTTCACAGATGAGGAAGCGGAGGCCCAAACAGGCGAAGAGGCGCCAAGGTCCCCCAGGACGTGGTGAGGCTGGGCCAACAGCTCTTCACCTTCGATATAAAGGCGGCAGGTGCTCCGACTGCGCCGTCCTGATGGCACTCACTGCCCAGCAATGGCTGCCGCAGGGCCCCTCCCCGGTCTCTAATCTCGTCCCCCTGGGCCTGGGCAGGGGCGGGAGGGGGCGGTGCAGGGGGCGTGGAGCCCTGACTGAGACCCCAGAGGACAGAGGAGGCCTCTTCCCCCATAAACCGGGCAGCAACGAGCTCCTCGCCTCGCACCCCGTGGCCCCCCAGACTCCAGACGGAGTCAGCAGCTAACTCTGAAATATTAAGCGGTTTACAAACAGCTCGATGGAAACAGAACCCGATCCTCATCGGTCCTCGGGAGGGAGGCAGAGTCTCCAGGCTGCAGAGGATGAAACAGTAAACAAAACCAGAGGCGGAGGAGGCCGCGTGGCCACCAGGCAAAGGACCAGAGAAGGCAACACAAATGGAGAGGCGTGTGACACACGGGGGCGACTGTGACGGAGAAGTGACGACGAACCTCCATAGGAAAAGAGCTCATTCGGTCGATCAGGGCACCGCCGGCCACGCAGAAACAGACCGACTCGAGAACCGACTCAGAGGAGGAGGCCCAGCGGCCGAGGCGCCTCATGCGTCACGGGGGGGAACGAGAATTTAAAAAACACAGTGAGACGCCATTTGGGCTCGTCAGATAAACAATGCTCTAAAACCAAAGCAAAACTAGAAAAGCCCGAAGATGATCAATACCCAGTGCTGGGAAGGCTGTGGTGAAATTGGCAGGATTGTTTCGGTGCATCACGTGGTGATACGGGCCCACAGCCCGTAAAGGTGTGTTGGGTACAGCAGACACCGCGCCTAGAGGTGGAAACGAAAGGTTTCCCTGGAGATCGGGCCGCCGAGGACACCAGCTACCACAGCTTGTTTTGTTCCACACTTAGCCAGCGCAGGAGGGCAAGAAAAAGAAATAAAACCGATTCGACTCAGAAAAGAAGAAACAGAGTTCTGGTTCTTCCCCAGGGCTCCGACGGTGCACAGAACAAATCCCAAAGGATGTGGAAACACAGTAACAGGAGACACGGCTGGCGCACCAAGGGGGGGGGGGGAAGCGGAGCTCGTGCATCCACGGTCAGTGGGAAATGAACGCGCTCAGCCCGATCCTCAGGTCTGATGTCGTCGCAAATAAAACTCCAGACTTTTCTGTTGTGTGGGACTTGACAAGCCGATTTTAAAACGTATTTGGACGGGCAAAGGGCTGAGAGAGAGTCGTCCTGAACAGGCTGAGCGTGGGGTCAGAGGACCACAGCCCACAGCACAGCCGTAGGAGCTGGGACGGTTTGGACTGGGAGCCCAGCCGGATGAGGGCATCTTGGGTCACAGCAGATGCCGCACACGCGGGCCTGGGAATCCGCCCTCGAGGTAACGCAGGCGGTGCCGCAAACCGGTGGGTGAGGAGGGCGCAGCTCACCAAGCATAACCCACGTGGGAGGGAAACGAAATCAAGCCGACTCGCACCACAAACACACACACACGGCCAAGGCAGGGGAATCACGGACCCGAACTGGCAAAGCGCAACGTGTTTGGGGAGATACACGGGAGACGGAGGAGGACCTGGGTGCGGGGGTGGGGGGGCGGGCATGACTTCCCGCCCACCCACGTGAGAGTCTGCCGACCCTGCTGCCGCCGGAAAACAGAGACAACTCTGAGAACAGTAACAACACAAGCAGAGAGGTAGAAAGATACCCGCCGCCTCCCTGACCTGAGGGAAGGCCACCCCACCAGAGACGGGGGCGTGCGCGCCGTTCACGCAGTGCACAGGCAGAGGTGTCTGCGAGGGCTAAGTTACCCCTGGTGGCGGGGGTGGGGGGCAAGGGGGCCCAGAAAGGCCAGGCGAAGGCTTCCGGGCGCCCGGCTGCTCTGTCTCTTGACCGAAACGCTGGTTG